AAATGCAGAATATTGCTAAAGAAGGATTGTTGAAGCCATGATTTCAGTTCTGGAGAACGTCAATGACTGACCTATATTGAAATCAGTTTACAACTCCTGCAATAAGATATTCAGCCACTTCACCATATGCTTCATTCCCATCTTGCAATACCCATTTGCTTACACAGTTTTAACACCAGACTATTTTAATATCCTTGGAAAACTGCATATGGTTACTGTTTTTCCTCTTAACACAAGGACAACTAAAGTATTTTTTCTTCAGCCTAAAAATTTCCATTTCACTGGATATACTTGATTTCTATTTCTATCAAAATAAACTAAGTCATAAATATAGCATGTATGCTTCAGTGTGTGTGTATGTGTAGGAATTTTTTTCCTGAACCGTCTGCTTTTCTTGAAAATGTGACCTTCATGAAGCATACAGAAAAGTGAATTGCTGTATGCATAAATATTTTCATACACACTTTTTGTGTGAAAAAAATCTTTAAAAATTACCATCATAGTTGAAAAAAACAGCAAATTAATTAAATTATAATACCTAAGTATTAATAGGTCGGTGCTAAACAGGCTTTAAAAGGGAATTCTGTAACTTGATGTTTAGAAAAATATAACTACAAAATACATGCCCGTTTGGAGATTTAAGACAGAATATTATCCTCAATTTATCAAGAATCATATGAAGACAAGGTTAGTAGCAAACACCTGTGGATGCAATATACATTCTTCATGCCTAATAAAGTCAGGGGATCAAAAAACTACATGCTACAATATTGATTACTCATTTGCATTAAACTGAAATAAAAAAATGGTAATAACACATTTACAATTTTTGTAAGGTACCCTAGGGCAGATGATGATATTGAGACAGAACAGGGGGGAAAAAAAAGAGGAATATGATTTTGAGGATAATATTTACAGATAATATTTATGAAGTGCCAGTGAATTTGTATTTCCTTGTTTTTCCTTTTCTGTAACCAGTCTCATTGAGATATAAGAATAGAAAAGACATTACTTTTTTGCCAGTATTCTTGTCACATTTTTTATAAAGGACTAAAATACATATTAATTACTAAAGCATATAAGGACTCCTTAACAGAAATAGAGGACCTATCACAAAAGAAAAAATCAGAAGTTCATTCCAAAAAAGGTGAAGTTCATCACTGGAGAAGGGCCAGCACATAGACCATGTCCCATTAAGGTTTTAATTTGAAAACTTCATTGAGTCTCCCAGGACGACTTTCACACAGGATAACGGAACATCACACAATATGCTGATTTGGAAGGGACCCTCAAGGATCAAGCATAGCTCCTGGCCCTGCACAGGACCATCCCCAAGAGTCACATCATGTGCCTGAGAACATCGTCCAAACACTTCTTGAACTCTGTCAGGCTTGGTGCTGTGATCACTTCCCTGAGGATCCTGTTCCAGTGCCCAACCACCCTCTTGGTGAAGACCCTTCTTCTAATATCCAACCTAAATCTACCCTGACACAACTTCAGGCCATTCCCTTGGGTCCTGTCACTGGTCACCACAGAGGAGAGATCAGTGTCTGCCCCTCCTCTTCCCCTCAAGAGGAAGCTGTAGACTGCAATGAGGTCTTCCCTCAATCTTCTCTTCTCTGGGCTGAACATGCCAAGTGACCTCAACCCCTCCTCACACGTCTTCCCCTCACGACCCTTGACATCTTCATTGCCCTCTTTTGGACAGTTTCTAGTAGCTTAATGACTTTATGGTGCCCCAAACTGCACACAATATTCAAGATGAGGCTGCCCCAGTGCAGACTAGAGCAGGACAATCAACGCCCTCAACTGGCTGGTGATACTTTGCCTTGTGCCTCCCTGGACATGGTTGGCCCTCCTGGCTACCAAGGCACTGCTGATTCATATTCAACTTGCCATTGACCAGGTCACCCAAGTCTCTTTCCATAGCACTGCTTCCTGGCATGTCATTCCTCAGTCATGTATTAGGGGTTGCTCCATCCCAGGTGCAGAATCTGACATTTCCCATTGTTGAACTTCATATGGTTTGTGATTGCCCAGTCCTCTGATTTGTTGAGGTCTTTCCACAGGGCCTTCCTGCCTTTGAGGGAGTCAACAGCTCTTCCCAGTTTTGTGTCATCTTTAAAGTTATTTAGGATCCCTTCCAGTCCTGCATCCAAGTTGTTTATGAAGATGTTGAAGAGCACAGGCCGAAGATGGAGCCCTGTGGAACCCCACTAGTGACAGGTTACCAGTCTGTTGTTCCCCCATTCACTATTACTCTCTGTGCTCGACTGGTGAGACAATTACTCATCCACCACATGATGTGCTGTGTGTCCAGCTGTGTGCTGGACTTCTGTCTAGAAGGATACTGTGAGAGACATTATTGAAAGCTTTAGTGAAATCCAAAAAGATTGCGTCAACTGGCTTCCCTTGACCAGCTAGGTGGGTTACCTTGGCATAGAAGAAAATCAGGTTGGATAAGTAGGACTTTCCTCTCACAAAGCCATGCTGTGAGAAGATCAATGAGGTTCAGGTGTTTTTCAATACATCCCAGAGTAATCTTCTCCATTACTTACCAGGCACTGAAGGGAGACTGACAGGTCTGTAGTTTCTGGGGTCCTCCTTCTTCCCCTTCTTCAAAACTGGAGCAATGTTTGCCAGCTTTCAGCTCTTTGAATTCGACACCATTCAGCAGCTGGGACCTCTCTGGATTCCCAAGACTGCTCAAATATCATCAAGAGAGGTTTTGCAATGACATCAGCCAGCTTTGAGGATTCTGAGATGAATTCCATCAGACCCCATAGATTTGTAGGGATACAGCTGGAGAAGCATATCCTGCACAAATTCAGGGCACATCCCATCAGGTGTCAGTAGACCATGTGTTGAGTAGATTATCCCATGGGCAAAAAATACATAATTTTTCCAATTACATCAACCTCACAGCCATACATTGTTCTGATGGATCTGCCTATTCCTATCAGTATTATTCCTTGTTACCAGAAGAATCAAGGAAATCAGTACCTGAACTCCTGAACCCCCTACAAATTGTCCCAGGGCCCTGAAGTCTTTTTTGATTGCCCTTGGGCTTCTCTTTGTTATTTCATTGCTTGAACAACCAATAGCACATAGTGATCAGAGGGCCTTACTAGACTGGAGAATTTTCCAGTAATGTCTCTCATCTGAGACCCTGGGAGACAGCAAACTTCACCATAAGGGGGGGTCTGGCCTGCATATTGGGCCCTCTGTTCCCCTTAGAACCATTACAACTATTACAACTACGCTTCTTTTCCTTTTAACAGAGGAGATCTTGATGCAGGTACAGGTGGAGGTGTTTTAGGAGGCCCCACTATCCAGAAGGACCTTCAGCCACCTCATCAGTTTTCTGGCCTTCTAGTGCCAGAGCCTTACACCTGTTGTAGAAGGTACCAGTCCTACCTGCCAAATTCTGAGGAGGAAGGAACCTTCCTCCTGGTACCTGCGGTGACCAGCTTCCAAGTCTTGAGGCTGCAGTGCCTCTGAATATAATCCATCTCTCTCTCACCCATTCACCCAAATACTACATAGCCTGCTCACCTCTTCCCGCAGCTCCCTCACCCTGTGACACAGCTCTGCAACCACGGCACACCTGCAAAATAACTCTTGGCTCCAGCCTCGCAAAGAGGCATCAGGCACTCCTGGCAACCTGTGACCTGGAGAGCTGCACCTGCCATCAGCAGGTCTGTCTGGCTGGAGGCCTCTGACACAGCTGGTTCAGCAGCTCCCGCAGCTACAAGGGACTGAGCTTCGTGGTGTGTCAACACCCTTACTGAGGAAGCTTAAACTAATACGCTAATAAGGCTGGGGCTGAAAAGATCTCTTTGCTCCTCCTTACCAGCGACTGAGTCTGTTTCCTGCCTTTATTGGCTGCTCCTGGGTGGTCAGAGAGGAGTTCTTCCTGCTTGTCCTGCCTGCATGGAACTACCCTGCAAACTGCTGTGCCACTCACTGACACGCCACACTCTGGGTCATTTTACTTCCTGGAGCCATTTAAATGCCCCTTGGTCGCTCCTGGCACTGCCCTCTCCTCGCCTGGTTTGCTGCCGAGGGCTTCCAAGTTGTGTGGTGCTGCTTGGGTGTTCCTGGACTCAGGAACCTCCCTGTACATCTGGATCTCACCCGTGGACTTCCCTTTGCTCAGGGCTGCTGGAACCTCAGTGATGGAAGTTTATGGGTCAAAGGCCAAAGAAAGTATTAAGAGCTTTAGTGTTTACAGGGCATATATAAAGTATATTCTGCTTAGAAATAAATAAAGTGAAGCACCATCAGTAAATGCAGCTATAGGTTAAGGTTCCAAATGAACCACCAGTAGTTTTTTTATGTCCTAAACTCATCTGAGGAAGAGGCACTTGCTGGTACCCCTTGTTATTCTCTTAACACTTACTATTCCCTCTTTAGTATTCTCTTCCTCAGCTCTCCAGTACAACACATCAGGCATTACACCCTGCACGTCCCCTGTCTCTTTGCAAACTAAAGCTCTGCTTGCAAAAGGCTAAAGATCACCTCTAGCGGACAGTTCAGGATCACCAGTGTTTCAAGCGCTATACAGTTTAATCTTCAGTTAAAGACCAATCTGTGAGAAGAGGCATTACTTCCCCCCTGCCACAAATCCCATGGGTAGTTTCTGAAGACAAATTCCACTGTTCATGTGTAAGTAGAAAACAAGAACCAGAAAATGCCAGTTTTAGTAAACAGAATACTTTCTAACAGCTATTTAGCAAGTAGGAAAAAAAAAAGTTTTGTGTTAATAAAACTATGTTCACAATACATGCATTTTAATTTAATTTTTTTTTGTAGCTGAATCGGATGAAGCTTTTAAAGCCTATTAGCTTTGCCAGTGGTGGTGTTTCTTTTTACCATTGTTTGTAATTTTCTATTTACAGTAACATAACAAATGTGGTGCCTCCAGCAAAAAGCTAAAGGTTGATGAGAAACAGAGTGGAAAAGCACCTAAATGTTAGACTAGTCAGCAAGATTTTCAAATTTGTTAAAATTAATACAAGCTATCATTAGAGTACTCTACAGTTCAGTGCTTCATAAATATGAAAAACAAAGCAGTAATGGATTTTTGTACCTTTCAGCTTGACTTTTAATGTGGTTTTATCTTCCTTTAACAAATCAGGATGCAGAACTACTCATAAAGCTTTCAGGATAGACCAACAGTATAATAATTCACTATGTGCATCTTGAGGCACTTACAACTTGAATGCATCTAGAATGATTGAAAAAAATATATCCTAATTACATAAAATACAACAACCAAGAACAAAGAATTATCTGCTCTAGGGTGAAGATGGGTACCTCTTCAATTCTTTGCCTGCTTCATTCACTGACCCAGTTGTCTTGGCAGAGCAAAATAAAAAAGTTTATTTGACCTCTGTCTGCTGAGTCCTACATGTCCTGAAGAACAGTAGGATTCCTTCCAATTGGTTGTTGAGGCTTTCTAAAATGAAATAAAATATCAAAGTACATCTTTATAATTTATTCACCAAAAAGTATGGCAAAGCACCTCAGACTGAGTACTGAAGCTGCTTTAGAAAATGACATAGTGGGAGAATTAGTGCCAAATTATTTCAAATTTTGCAATGTTTATTCAAAATGAATAAGTCCATTATTTACCATATAATTTTATCAGAATGGGAGAAGGTAACTCCCACAATGTTTTAAGCCACTCACAACACTGATCACTCTTGGTGAAGCTTTTTGGGTGTGCCAAGCAATTAAAAGACTTGGGAACACCAAAGTGGGTGAAAAAGTTCTTTGGCAGAACACTGAGTTATTCAAACATTATTTAAAAAACAATTGAAATTCTGAATAATGACTTTATTCAGAGAATCATGGGGCATCTCTTCATAAAAGTTCTATGCAGGAAGGCATATACCTTTTACTCAGATGCCTATAATAAAATCACATCTTATTGCACTAATAAATATTTGACTGACTTGATTCACAATAGTGGATAAAATAACATGGAAAATTAAGTGAAATTAAATGTCTGGCTACAATCTCAGTGGCAATCATAAACTGTGTCTTTATATATAATCAATTATCTAGAGCTATCAAAATCCCCATGTCCAACTAATGACTGTTGAACAGAGAAGGAAACTATTTGGCCTACATAGATCTAAAGGTATTTTAGGCTCTTCAATGACGGAAGGATTTAACAGACAAAGAATTATGTATGTAGGAAACTGAAAGCACATGGTTGTAAAAATGGACATAGTAGTTTTAACTTTCCCATAACGTTTGTAAAATGTAATGTCCAGATATCAAGATTTCTTTTTTTTAGTGAAAGGTGCCAGATTCTAGGACAAAGCAGGAAAGATGATATTTTTTTTCCTAACGTGCTAGAAGTAGCTAGAAGAATGAACGTCATCACCTATTTTATATATAGAATTAAATACTTAGAAGGAGATAATGCATCAGGATCAATCCAAAATTAAAATTTACCATGGCAATCTGAGAACTCCCATGCAAGTCAGCAGCACTTGTCTGCTCAGGAACTGCAATACAAGACCATTAATTTTACTGTGTTAATGATTGATTTCAAAGCCACTGGTTCTAAACAAGCATAAATTAACAAACATTCTTTCTTTTCTTTTAGGTATGAAAGGTATGTTAGAGGAATTCCAAAGTGAATTGAAAAGTTGGATTACTTCTACCGGCATTTTACAAGGTTGCAACAGATAAAATAATATCTAATATTTATCTTTTTGGGGAGAAACTTCAATAGGTATCATTGTCCAGAGCTTTTCCAAGTGCAGTCTTTTTCTCCTTTTCCATTTCTATAAGAAGAATTTTTCCACGTGCTTCATGCATGTGTTTTCATCACCACAAATATTTAGAGGGCATCTGGAAACAGAATCAAGCTCAGAAAAGCAGAGGTGTTAAACAGAGTAACCAAAGTTCAGAGAAGTGTTCCCTGTTGGTAGATGATTCATCCTGGAGCGTTTGGTCAGTGACTCAAAATTTTTGCCACCTTCTGCTCAGCAGTGTGGTAATAGATGTTATGTTGTTATGATTTAACCATTCATCAAGGAGGAAATCCATAAATTCATGAAATATCCACAAAATGAAATTTTAATAACAGATTATGAGAATTGTGAGAGATTCAGCAATTCTGCTAGCATATTCCTGTAAAGATCTATTCTTCTCTGACAACACGTATGGCTGAGACTTAAGGGTATAACCTGTAAGGAAAAGTCCTGTCTCCCAGGCTGAAGATGAGGATAGCGCCAGTGAGCTTACCTTGTTACTTAATTTGGATGTATTAGTATAGAATTCCTTCTTCTCCAGCCTGTAGAACAAAGTTTAGTAATAGACAGAAAAGCTATGAGGTACAAAGGTTAGTGGTGAAACAAAAAATAATGAAGAATAAATTATGCTATTTCCATTGTAATGAAGTCCATTTGGCTTCAGCTTTAGAAGCAAGCTATTTTAGGCTCTCTAGTGATGCAAGGATTTAACAGACAATGAAATATATATTAAAAAACTGAAAGCAAATGTGTAAAACTGTCCATAATATTTCTGTCATCAATCTGCTTTAATCCTGGCCAGGATTATGGAAAGGATTCACAGTTTAAAATTTAATATTACATTGGCTTATAAACCCCCTGAATTTGGTATATATAAGTAATTATTAAAAAATCCCAGAGCACCAATACTCTAAAGTTTTCTGATTTTATATCAAAATGGAACCAGAAGCCTCTGCTTGACGTTACACTGTCTCATCAATGGTTTCTCACGATCTGCTCTCTGCACCCCTGCCCTCTGCTATGCCCTGCAGACAGCCTGCCAGGGGGTGGCCTCCTGCCACCGAACTCCCACCTGAACCAGGATTGTCCATCTCCTGCACAAGCAGAGCAACGGAAAAACCTTGTCTAGACACCAGTCCTGGGCCTGTACCTCTGACCACTGTTTGGCCACAGTCCCTAGTTTAACAGGGTGCTGAAGTCGGTATGAAAAGGTGTCCTTGTTACGGTTTGAAGGTTAAAGAAGCTGAAGCATTTCATCCAGCACAGAAATACTAAACACCTCATGGAGATGAAGGCAATGGGTGACAGGAATTTTTGTGGAGTGCCATCTTATCGAACTGTCAGGCGCTGGCTTTATTCACTAATCTGTGAATCTCTAAAAATGCTACAGGCAAAAATCCTTTCCCTGTGGTGCATATCCAGCTACTTTTTCTCAGGAGATTTAAAAACTAGGCTTTACTGTCTTTTCTCATTAATTTTGAATAGCAGAGCAGACATGCAGAATTCTGTTTGTCTACCTTGTCACTGCCCAGTAAATGAAATTTATAGAAAAAATGTCACAGAGCGCCAAACCCCCAAACAACAAAGTGTTGCAATCTGACTCTTTTCTTCCATTTGGGAAGAAGTGGTTATCTGTGAATAAAGACCTCATATCCCCAGTAGTGACCTGTTCCACAAAATTTTTGTGTTGGTTTTGCTGAATTTGAATATACGGTAAACTTAAAACAAAAAGTTGCCTCAACTTCATCTGAAATCAAATTAGTTTTAATGAATTTGACCCTTTGATTCTCAGCTCTCGGAGTCACCAGCACTGGTATAATGAACTGATACATTGTTTAGCATACATTTTTTAAATCTCATTTAATTTTATAGTAGACTTTTTTCTTAAAACCTTAAACTTTTATTGAGCAATTAAATTGTGTTCTCAATCAGGGGGAAGAAATGCTCATAAAAGAGAAATAAGCTAAGCAGTAATTTCTAGACAGAAGTTGCATTTTTATTTCCTCCATCGTAATAGGAACAAATATTTGCTCTGTAAAATAAGACACAGAATCTTCTAAAGAGCTGAAAATGACAATTGATTTTTTATTTTTTTCCTCAAGTGCTATTAGAATTCTTGGAATAAAAACCTGCTTCTGGTATACTGGCCTTCTCAGATTAGTCAAGTAAAATGAGCAATAGTTGTTGGAATCTTTTTCCACAACCATTTTGCTGACTGATGGCTGTTTTCAAAGCATCACACATTGATTTTTTTTCCAGAAAGCACCTCTGCTTTAATGCAAACATTTTAAAGGTAACCTTGTGTCTGCCAACAAACTAGTAAAATCCTGTATCTGTTGTAAACAGTTATGATGTTAAAGCAAGATGACTGGAGACCTCTTTGTAATGGTTCAATGACTACCAGTGAATTTTACAGATGATGCTGAAAAGCATAAAACATTATGTACAGTACGTAAGTATGTCTTCAGGTATAATAATAACAAAATTAGGTTTCAACAAATGTTAATTTGAAGGACATTGCCATTTAGAACACAATATCAATGCTTTTTAATTTACTTATCACCTCCATTCTTATTAATTTGCTCTGGTAGCTTCTAAACTGTGTTTCTATACACCATGAGTAAGAAAGAAAAACTGTACGCTTAAAATAATTACACAAAACTGCCTAAAATATTAAAACCACCACCAATATGTATTTCATTTGAAGAAAGTATTAAACCACAAAACTATACACTGCTAGTCTATGGAGAAATTCTCCTTTCTTTTTCTGCTATTAACTAAAAGTCACTTAACAAATAAAAGAATTCAATTATATGTCTTCTAGAAAATACCTTGCTAAACTTTCTCTGTATAATGGATACCTTCCTACTTAGTTGCTTTCACGATCAATGAACTCAAATACCTCAAAAATAATTTGGATAGAGAGGACATCCACACAGCAACAAACAGATAGAAATACGTTACAAGTTATTGTAAGAACCAACAACTAACAGCTTTATTAATATACATACAGTGCTGGTGCCCCCAATATAAGGACATGGAACTGTTGTAGCAAGTCCAGAGGAGTGCCACGAAGCTGACAAGGGGACTAGAGCACCTCCCCTATGAAGACAGGCTGAGAAAATTTGGGCTTTTTAGCCTGGAGAAGAGGAGGTTGCATGGAGACCTTATAGCAACCTTCCAGTATCTGAAGGGGGACTATAGAGAAGCTAGAGAGGAATTCATCAGGAATTGTAGTGGTAGGACAAGGAGTAATGGGTTCAAACTGAAAGACAGGAAATTTAGGTTAAATACAGAGAAGAAGCTCTTCACTGTGATACCTTGGAGTTTTGTTCTTTTGATTTTTTTAATTTTTGTAGATCTTAGAAGTAGTTATGTAGTAAATGTAGATTTTAGAATAGCAGCATATTATCCCTTTACCCTTAACACACCAGCTGAAACCCCTGTTACCCATTCCCATATCAATTCCCTAAATTCCACAGCCTATTTAGTCTCTTTTTCAAGGTAGAATTGTAGAAGAACACCCTAAACCTATGGAAGAAGATACAGCCATAGACCCAACAACCTTCAGGCCTAGAATTCTGGAAGGCCTCCAAGGACATTACGTGCTCTGAGGAAGATGAAGATGAAGAAGAGGGGGTCCCAAAACACCCCCAGACCCAATTCCCAAGAGGCGTGGTGGGGGCAGAACCTGGGTGGTGGCTGGACGGGGATTGGGTGAAAATCATTATAAAAACTGTGGACATCTCTATTTCGGGAGCGCACGTTGGGGTATTCCAGAAAGCCTGGGGGCTCATTAAAACTTTTGTATTCTTATCTTATCTCCTACCTAATTTGGCTTGGAGTCTTTTTTTCCCACAGCCATTTAGGCAACAACTGTGAGGGTGTGAGGCTCTGGAACCGCTTTCTGAGAGAAGTTGTGGATGTCCCATCCCCGGTGATGTTCAGGGCCAGGTTGGATGGAGCACTGAGCAACCTCGTCTTGTTGGAGAGGTCCCTGTCCAGGGCAGGGGGTTTAGAACTAGACGATATTTAAGGTCCCTTCCAACACAAATGATTCTGTTCAATGATTCTGTGCTTAAAAATTGGTTAAGGACTGCATGCTAGCACAAATGCAGTATCCAGAAGAATCCTGGCAGCAATAGGGTAACAATATTAGTATGTCAAACTCTTTGATCTTTATGTAGATGTTAAGTAAATGAATTATTATTTTAATAGTAGGATTATAATCATAGTCCTTCCTAAAGTAAGATCCTACTGATTTCAGTCCCTATCTGAAAAACAAAGGCACATGAAGCTACTGCACCACTTGAAAGACATTCAGATGCATAAATACATTAATTCTCCTGAAGCGTGATAAGTGGAAGTGGCAAGAAGGTACTTTTATTCATTATTATACTCTAGTTTACAGCAGGTTGAAAGTTTTCTGACTACCTAAACAGTTTTGATCAATGGATATTATTTTATTAAATCAAAACATATCAGCAAAATCTATCAAAATAATTTTGGAAGGATTATTTTGAACTTTTCAAAAGATATTTTGGCTGCATGTTCCAACTTAGGAGAAAAAAAAAGTCATTATACTTATTTCTGGTGAAACAGACTTTCCAAATTTTGACCAGCCTTGAATGGAGTCATGCTCCTGTTCATGGTTCATCCCTATTACAATATTGCACTGTGTAGAAAACTGAAGAGTTATAACACTGAACTCTAATGACTCTTAGATCAATAAAGCACTGTGACATGCT